ACCTTTAAAAGGGTGCATACTTCTCTTTGTATTGGAGCTGGAACCAGAACCCAGGTCTCCTAACTCTATCCCAATGTTCTTCGCATTACGCTGTGCCGTGTTCTTAATACACATAGATTCAGGCTCTGAAACAGAGAGGCCGTGGCGTTGCCATGGCTGTTAAACTCTGTTCATTGAAGGCAAAAGGAGAAGGTCACCAAGGCTTGGGAGCCCAGAATGCTGGCCCTGGGAGCAGGGTAAAGCCTCTACTGCATTTCACTGAAGTGGAAGAGAAATAAACAAAACGTGTGTGTGTGTGTGTGTGTGAGAGAGAGAGAGAGACAGACAGACAGACAGACAGACAGACACTAACACAGAGAGACCAGGGCTGGGGAGGGATTGCAAATGCAAGGTTTTAGCATGTCTTGTCTTGGGAAAGTATCTATTTTATCTATTTTCAGATTGTCTTGCTTACATTTTGAGTGTTAAAAGGACCTTTCCTTTCCAAAACAACAATAGTAGGTGGCAGTTGATTTACATTGAATGTCAGTCCTCCACACTTGCTGTTGAACGTTTCTAGGGGTCTAAAACTCCTGGGGCCGCAGCCCCAGCCTCTTAATGACACTTGCTGAGTAGATATTCAGCAGCCGTAAGTTGAACTATTTGATTTTCAAGAAATCTGAAACATTAAAATCAGTGTTTCAGAAACAAAGATCAAAACTCTAACCAGTGTTTACTGCTAAGGAAAAAGAGAAATAAATTATTTAAATGAATTTTGTGTTCCTCATAAAAAACATGCTTCATTCCAAGATGCTATATTTGTTAAACATTCAAATACTTGAGGCTGTATTTTCACAAAATGGAACAAACTTTTATGGGGCATATACAATATCTTAATAATGTTTGCTACTTAACCTCTAAATTAAAAATATCTATATTTTAAAATATTTTCCAAAGTTAGCTATTAATACTGGAATTGACGTCATTGAAACCGTTTTTTTTTTTAATTGTGGTTCTTTATTTGGAATTTTCTCTATAATTTTGAACTTTCAGTACTGAAATTCTTTTATAACATAAAACTCCAACTATTGTTAAAAAGTTTTGTTACTACTGCTTGACATTTGAAGGTCTCGACACTGCTTGTCACGGTTTATGCCGTTTGCTATGTTCTATAACAAAAGCGACACATACCTATTCAATCCCAAGGCCACCTCTTGGGAAAACTCCACTTGTCATGTTAGTGGGTTCATTATAGTGGGAATCTGTAGTCCTTGTTGGATATTTTGCAAAACATAATTTTCTATACCGTAATCAGGGGTGTCCAAAGGTTTGGTGTCTCTGCACCACACTGGAAGAATTGTCTTGGGCCACACATTAAATACATTGTGACATGTAATCACAAAAATATCTCATAATGTTTTAAGTAAATTGACAGTTTTGTGTCGGGCCACATTCACAGCTGTCCTGGCCTGCATGCGGTCCACAGGCCACAGGTTGGACTCCCCTAATTGATTACACAGCTTGGTATAGAATTACATGTCCTGTGTCATGTTTCCTGAAGGAGAAGCTCGGTTATTTTTTGTTTGATTTGTATCTGAAAAGCTGAAGAGACAACCACACTGTTTTCATTGTGCTACCCTGTAAACAGTAACGCACATGTTAACCATTGCTAGTCACAGAGAATCAGGCCTGTTTGTAGTACAAAAATATTCAAAATTAGAGTAAAATTATGTGTAATAAGGAAAATGACAGTACAATCCATAGCATTGTTACTATACCTTTTTGACCTTATGATTTTAAGAGATGCCTTGGTTCTGTGGGCTTATTCAGTCACAAACTGATGAAAGAGAGGATGAAACTCGAAAGGAATTCGGACTCGCATAAGGGCTGTCTTAGTACATTGGGTGCAAGGTCTTTGCCGAAGAGACTAAGTCAGGCTTTAGGGTCACTAGTCAGCCACGGACACTCACGGCTGTATTTGGTTTCTGTGTTTGGATCTCTCAAATGGAGTGCGCAATGGTCTCTTTTTAAAAACTAGGCACATGTGTATAGGTCTGTTAAGAAGAATGTTGCTGTAAGCTTCAAAGGTGACAAGAAGGCTTAATTAGAAGGGCTGTTTGTGAAGAAAACAGCATCCTTGTTACACAGTTCTACATTTATTAAATATATTTTTAATTTATTTTTGGAAAGGAGAAGGGAGGGAGGAAAGAGGGAGGGAAATAGTAAGTAGAATAGTAAAATCTTATGAGAAGGGTGTAAGATGGCAGCTCCTAGGATAAGCACACATTTTTTTCTCTGCGCAGAGCATTACTGACTAGGCTAAATCCGTTTTATGGCTATGTCGTTTAAGGCTTTACTTTTTCAATTATACCTGCATCTACGACACTTCACAGTTATTAGTAAAGAGGCCAGCCCTGTATTTTATATGCTTTGGGCACTTGATTGGGTTTTAACTCCTGTTCTTACACTAGGAAATAACATGCTTTAACTTAAATTGTAGTAAAACAAATCAAATCATGTTTTTCTGTCATCTTCCTAGAATACTTCTTCATTCAGATAATCATTTAAAATTTTCCTATCAAAATGAAAAGTTAGTTTTATACGAAGTGAAAAAACCTAGTATTCATCAAAGAAACACCCCCACTTAAATTAGTTCCAGTAGTTAACGTACATTTAATAGGATTTCTGGTATTATAAGGCATATTCTGGGAGTTTTGGTGACCTATAACTAACTTATCTTTTAGGAAAAAAACCCAGTTAGTATGGAGAATTACTTGCCTAAAGTAACATTTTTCTTTTTGTTTATGCATTAAATTCTTTACCATAATGGGTAAAATAAGTTCATCTTTCTTTTCTGTTACAAATGTATGTGATCATTCTTAAATTATCTGGCTACTTCTTATATGACAGTAATATTTTTTTTCACAGCGGACTTTGAGCACATGCATTGTGCCACATATGGAACCAAAAAATATACTGTACTTTTGAAGTCGTATACTTTAAAGAGGTTCATTGTTACATTTAGCATTTGGGCTAAATTATTTTGAAGCTAATCACATTGCCTGCATTGCATAATTAGCACCACTTAGTATTTTATTTAATTTTGTAAACCCAAAGCGATCCACTAAAATCTGTAGCCAGTGAAACTTCTTGTAACAACATCTCTGTGCTATTATTTTTTCAACTCCCTTTTCCCCTGTCACCGTCCCATGTGTGGCCAGGGTAGAGAGAACGTGACTGAGAGTACAGTGTCTGATGTACTTACTAGACCAGAAGTTACTTCCTCCCATATCATTGCTTGGTCAAAAATTTGACCCCTTTATAGAATCTGAGAGCTGCAAGTTGACCTTGGAGGTCATTTATTATGTGCATTCACTGAAGAATCTACTCTGCAGTGACCCTGCTGAGTGGTCATGTATCCTCTGTTTAACTGCCTTTTCCTCATTGCTGCCCAAGTTTACTTCAGTGTTCTGGGCTTTGTTTTCTCATTTGTAAAACGGCAGTAATTATGGTACCTAAATTAGAGAGCTGTTACTTCAATTAATTAGCAGTAATGCGTAACATTAAGTGTCTTCAGTATAGGTTTCTAGGTTTTGTAAATGGTTTACCTGTATTTTTTCAGAGCAGTTTATGTATAATCAATGATTAGATAATTATTTAAATTATCATATTTAATCTGACACTGTGACCATACCAGTGTGACATTTATTGTTTATTTATAAATTTTCAATTTCAGATATAGGTTAGCATTGAGAATGTAATTTTAAAAATCTCATTCAGTGTTTTAAATATTGAAATTATAACAGTTGAATTAATAAATGTTTATTAAAGTGACATGCAATAATTAATGTTTATTATAGCTTTACTTTTATATAATTTAATCTTAAATAATTATATTAGAAAGTTAACAACTAATTGGAATGTTAACAGATAACTATTAGAAAGAAGGAAAGCGTAAAAATCAATGGCGACCTTGCCATTAGGGGTGCCGCAGCCCAGAAACATCCCCTGCTCTCCCCAGCATCAGTTGTGCCTCGCTTTGGATAAGAGTTGCTCGACTACTTGACTGAAATGCATATTTGGTCCACCTCTTAATTATCATGATTGTGTTGACTATTGGAGGACAATCCTGCTAGCTTGGACCTTACCAACTCCTTTTTAGTTAACTATACACAAAGGTGTCAAAGATATGACAGCAGAATGCAAGACTAAGAGCCCTAGGATTAGGATGAGAAATACCTGCAGCCTTTGTTTTTCATCTGTGCCATCAGCGGTGCTTTCCATTGATTGTTACATGAGTACATTAGCCAGAAGTGGCCATAGCCAGTGGGAAAAGTGGGAAGCTGGGTAGGTTCAGCTGTATTTTATAATAATTTGCCTTTTGTCCTTCAAAAACCTTCACCAAGGATGCTCTCTGTGAACAGATATTACAGATACAGCAGTGAATAAGCCACAGTCTTGCTTTTGCTTTTTAGGAGTTCATGGCGGAGACACAAGATAGACATATAAAGACATAATTATGAATAAATAAGATAAATGTTACTATGTTGTTTTCCATAGTAACCATTTCAGTAGTTAGGAGAACTACTTCATTAGTGCTTTCTTTTCCCCCTACTGAGAAGTGTTATCTAAACAAAAGATATAGCAAAAGATGTAATCTCAGTGCTTAACCACCTGTCATTAGTGCCACAAATAATTATAGCCACAGAACACTTTGGAAGTTGAAGTCTGATTGCTAACCTATATTCTACCGATAAAGAATGTGTGCAATTTAAACTTTTCCAGTTTTTGCCATTGCCTTTAGCAATTGGTAATCCAAATAGAGATGTCTGTAATATATGTATTTAATTGATTTTTATAGATTGTTATATAAAATTATTCTGAACAAGTATTTTTAATGTTTCCTCTGACCCAAATGAAGACCCCCCCCCAAATTCTCACAAGATAAAAGTACTGTTATCTGAGTGCCAAGAGAGCACCTGCAGGAGCTTCCATGAGAGCTGACTGTTGGTTTCCAATAGGAGTATGATGAAGAATGGGCCAAGAAAATCCAGAGTGAAAAGTTTCGCTGGCATAACTCTCAGTGGCTGGAGATGGTTGAGAGCCGTCAGATGGATGAGAGTGAGCAGTACTTGTATGGCGACGACCGAATTGAGCCGTACATCCATGAAGGAGACATTCTTGAAAGGCCCGACCTTTTCTACAACTCAGGTAAGATGATAACCAATTGTCTGCGTGTTAGAAATGGGAATTTTGATCTGCCAACTTTGCTCATTCCCAAGCTCTGTAAGCACTGTTAGTGTATAGATGTCTCCTGCTAATGATTTCAGACATAACATCAATACACGCCAAGTAAACCTATTAACTCACTGTTATTTTTTTCCAAGTGAGTCTTTGATGTAATCTCTATAAAAAAGGCTGTGGCCAGGAAAATTAATTGCTCTTAGTTTATTACCTTCTAGAGTATATAACTTAAAATGACATCTTCAGGATTTCAGACTTCTGTTTAAAAATGTAATGTTTATTTTTCTTTATTCATGTCAATGTATAACTCACTAATTTATGTTTTGTGTTCCACATATTTTGTTTTAACAGTCTAATATGGCCATTGTTTTGCTCTAGTTGCAAAGTAGTAAACTCCATTGGGTGACTATTTGGTTGGGATGATGCCGACACTATGCAGTGATAGTTTTTCCTTCTTAACTCTGCTAGTGTTTTCAAGGTAAAATTTAATTTTTACATAACTCCCACATATATTATAACCTTGTTGATTCTGCCATACTGCCATTTTCCTGGGATGAGTTTGGCACAAAGATTGGTGAGTTTTTGCATATTTCTGCTTTTAACGTGTTTCACAGTTGCCAACATTAACATTACTTCATTGAAGTCATTTAGTTGAGGAGTGGAAGGAAGGGATTTCAAATTAAGATCTGTAGCAGGTTGGAAATAAAAAGCATGAAAGTAATTATATCTGAATTAATGGTTCACTTTTTCCTATATGTATTGCTTCATGTGTTTTCATAATTGTGTATTGTGCAAATTGCCCATAAACATTGCATTATTTTTATATTTGATATTTGAATCCTGGAAAATTGATACTTTATTTTGAAAATTAAATAGATTTCTTCCTAACTGAACTTTACAGTAGTTATGAAATACTGCTTTGTGTTTCAAACCAGATGGTGTAGATCATTAATTTCAACCAACCAGAATTTCTTAGTTCAGTAATGGCAAGCAGCTGTTCCTTACATATTCAGATATTCATGAAGTAAAAATGATGTAAAATATATGTGATATGAATTTTTTGTTAATAGAAATCAGAATTTCTTGGAATCAAGTTTCTTGCTTTGAAGATTGATAGCTACTTTTCAGTGTGAATCAATTACAGTTTTCAAAACCAAATAAAACTTTTAACCACCACAGTATTCAACTTTGTTGTTTTAATACAATTAGAATTTTAGAACAGATTTTTAAAAAGTTAGAGCACATTTCCAAAATTAATTTATTTAAATTAACTCTTCAATGAAAATCATAAACATTTTTCTGTAAGATATTTTATAATTAAAATGTACAACCTAGACTTTTTTGAGAAATCTAAATATATTTTTATATATCAAAATTTAAAAACAGCCAATGCTGATGGAAAAATAAATAAATTTAAGCATTTGAGGAGTGAAATATTATCAAGAGATATACTCATTGGCTGTTTTTTAATACCTGTAGCCTGATGATGTGGAGGACATTTGACAAGGAAGATGACATTGCTGTGAGTTTAAAGATACAAGTTCTCATATCGAGCCATCTATTTTTTTTAGTTAGTGAATTATTTTACCTACTTCATTTTCCATGAATAGTCCATCTACTAAATGAATCTGTGGTATCTCCTGATGTGTGTCATAGAAATCTAGATCACACCAGCCTCGTCTTTACTTGTGTGCTTGTAAGTGCTTGAAGTGTCTTCAGACACTCAGAGAAACTTGTAAAACCGCAGATTTGAATGCTTGAGCCCTCTTATTTAAGTCTCCATGATGCTTTAGGCAGCGTCTGATAAAAGCAAGTTTAGTAGCATTTTAGTTACACAGGTTAAGCTAAGTGGCCCATAATTACCTGGATCTTATCTTTTACTTTAAGTGCAATATCATCATCTGCTGCTTCCTAGTCATTAGTGTTGCCTTCTATGTTTTCAAACCTTATTTGTTAAAATGTATGTTTCTTTCTTGCTTTAATTTTATTTTTTTAAAGGATCTTAGTGTTGTCATATGAAATAGGAATCTAGCATTTCCTTTAGTTACAGTAGTTTTTCCTGAGAGTCTAAAATTATGATAATTGTAATCACAGATTAATCTCCTTCTTCGTCATGAAAATCATGCTGTTTGTGTTAGTACATTTACTCACAGGGAGAAGCATATTATAGTTTATAATAAAGCGGTATTGCTACTATACATTTCTAAATGACTTTTCACCTTTACGTAGTTCTTCATCAATTATGGTGAATCTTACTCTTAGCATTTGACATGTAAAAATACTTCTGCAATATGAAGCTTAAAGTGTTTATTTTTCTATCTCAGAATCATTATAAAACTATAATTTTCATTTATGTATGTGTTTCTGTGATGTGTTATTTCAGAAACAGCCAGATAAGTTATGATTTATCTATTTCAGTCATTTCCTTTTCTCATTTTCTTCATTATTGATGTCTATTTCTATCATACAATCACAATGTCACTTTTAGCTAGTTCACCAAACAGCCCAATATTATGTTTTCATTTATTTCAGTAACAGTATATAAAAAGATAATGTTTTTGTAATTTTTACTCTTGCTCACAATGTATATAAGCCAGTTTTTTAACTGACTTTCAGGAATCAGAATGCTGATAAACTGCCTCTGCTGACAGTAAATTTGCTTTCATTTCACCCTTGTTCCAGTACCTACCCGTTTCGTTCATAAGCAGGCTTCCCATCATTACATGGAACGCCTCAGAAAGGTGTGTTGTATACAACCACCATAGGAAGGCTTCATGTGATTTAATAATGCAAGTGTGCATAACGCCCCGCAGCTTCCAGAGGGCTCTGGTGGATATCATCTGCCTTCTGTTTGTTGTCTGGTCGTTGTAAGTGGGACATGAAATTCTTTGGTTCCTGGTTGCTCTTTGAATCACGAGGCTAGAGTAGTAGCCTGAGAAGGACACTCCTAGATTTATCTGGAGTTTGTAATCAAGAATATATGATTCCTCTTTAGTATTTCTATAAAACAATTACTTTTGGGTGCAGAATGCTGAGAAATGGATAGTTCCAAAGAAGATGAGGTACTTGAATGGAGGATTAATTTAAGATACAATTTAACTTTTATTAAATTATAAATAAAATCTAGTGAAGAAAGATTGCTCGTATATCAGAGTTTCCTAAATTTTGTCAAGCCATTAAGGGCACTGTAGAAACTGGTTTGCAGAATGAATTGCAGTGTCCTAGAGGTATTAAAAAACATTCAGGAGTGTAAGTTTTCTCTTTTTTACTCACATAATATCAGGCTTATTATACTGTTAAACTAGTTGTCTCCTGGGCTTATGACATTTCTGGCTGAATCTGTAAACTCAGAAATATTTACTTTGACCTGTTGGAGGAGCTCCCCATTTATAGTCCATTTATTCTTTGTTCGTCTTCTTCCCTTTGAAGATGATGGGAGCTCTGAAGCAGCGTGACGATGTTGAGAATTTGACAAGAGTTTTTTAAAATTTAATTTCTACCTAATCTGGCTCACTTCACTAGGTCATATTTCATGTAATAAGCTTAAAAATAGAGGTATTTTTTATTTAGTTGTATTTATATCTGAAGTTTTTCTGAGTGTAGAATCTTTTATTCTACTGGCATGCTGAATATCTTTGTATTCATTTTCACAGTGTGATATACATTTTATTTTGGCACTTTATTTAGTTTGTTCCTCTAAAATCGGCTGATTTCTTAAACCCTAATCCTCAATTATTTGGTTTTAATTTAACAGAGGAGCTTATTGATTGTTGTGGTCATAAACTTATTAATTTTAGCCACACTTTCACAAAGTGTTAGATCCATATAAAGTTCATTCTTTTAGCTGCTCAGTACTCTATGATATCTTAGCATTTTCCACAATTTCATTTTTTTTAACTTCTTTGTGTTTTAACTTGTCTTTTACTTATGGAATCTTTAACTTTTAGAAAACATAGAAACTGGTCTAAATATTAGACACTTTTAAGCTACCTCTTAACTATTTTAAACTTACTAAAATAATAAGACAGATACCAAAGTTATTCAGTAACAATTCAACAATTAAATAATAAGTCTTTGTGGATACATGTACCAAACAAACAGTACAGGAGTCTTATGGAAATACAAGTCACCTCACTCACTCCTCTTCCAATGCTGTTATTTTTTCTAAAAGCTTACTTGATTTTTAATATTCGTGCTCCCACACAGACCTTGTCCCTAGTGCTTACCTGCCTTTCAGGGCTCCCGTCAGTTATGCTTCTGCCTCCCTCCCTCCCCAAGTAGGATTTTCTAAGCCCTGTAGACACGGCGACCCCGCTACCGCTTTTCTGTCTTCTGTGCTCATTTGGTACATACGAGGCCTGTCCAGAAAAAGTCCAGCCACTGTGAATATAACAAGAATGGTTTGCACGATATCAATGTAACCTGGCAGCCAAGGAGAGTGGACTGGAATGCACATGTGTGAACAATGATGACTTCATGTACTGGTCAGTGGGGATGGTAGATGCCCTTGAGTGAGCATGCGTACTGTGTGGCCATTACATTCAAAATGACTGAGCGAGTAGGGCAATGAATCTGTATCCCATTTTGCGTTAACTTTGCTGAAACTATTCAGATGATTCTGAAGGCCACAGCAATGGGCTACCAGTGACTGGCAGCTTCATCACAACAATGTGCCCGCTCAGGCATCACATCTCGTGCAGAGTTTTTTGGTGAAACATCAGATCACCCAGGTGACTCAGCTCCCCACAGCCCAGATTTGGTTCCCTGCCACTTCTGGCTTTTCCCCAAACTCAAATCACCTTTGAAAGGGAAGAGATTTCAGACTGTCAATGAAATTTAGGAAAATACAACAGAGCAGCTGTTAGTGAGTGGGAGAACTGTGTGAGGTCCCAGGGTCCCTACTTTGAAGGGGACTGAGGAGTCATTGTCCTGTGTACAATGTTTCTTGTATCTTACATCTTCTTCAAAAATTGTCTCTATTTTTCATATTACATGGCTGGATACCTTTTTGACAAACCTTGTATATCCATTCCCATTGTACATCATTTATTAATGAAATATGTTACTTATATACATCTTTTGTGTATGTGTGGTTTTTATTATTTTACATTTTCATGTATTTACATGTTTTTGTTTCCTCATTTATTAAAAAATTTCCACATTAATATTATTTTATATTACTTTCAGTTGTACAGCATAGTGGTTAGACAATGATATAATTTAATAGATATTTAATTACATCTTAAGTGTTTGTTTTATATTTCACTTAACCTAAGATTCTTAAAAATGGAAATTTTGTATTGTAACTTTTGTATTTACTACAAGGCCGAGGAGAGCATTATTATGCATGTGGTAGGTGTAAAACGGTCATCTGGTGACTAATTTACTTATCATGTCCCAAAGCTGTAATCAGTGTTGTGGGTGTGACCTATGACCTAGCCAATGTTTATCTAGAAGTCACTTAACAACCCAGAATACTTTCTTTTTATTTATTTTATTTTTATTGATTTTTAGAGAGGGAGAGAGAAGAGAAACCTTGATTTTTGTTTTAGTTCATTTGCACTTATCGATGCATTCACTGGTTGATACCTGTGTGTGCCCTGGCCAGGGATCGAACCTGCAGCCTTGGCGTATCAGGATGACGCTCTGACCACTCAAACTACGTGGCCAGGGCCGGAATGCTTTCAAAATATGACACTTTAAGAGGCCTGAGAACTTTCCAAATAGTCACTACAAAAGCCGTATCTTACAAAGTGTTTGTACACAGGACAGCCTTGAAGCCGTCACTTTGATCTTTTTTACTCGGATCATTCTTAACTTACTCATAATTGTATCCATAATAAGTTTTCTGGTTGCCCAGTTTGGAGCAAATAAGGAGAGGATGTTATTTGAAAATCAGTAAGAAGTAATAATAAAACTTGGATTTAGGAAAAGAAGCATTTTACACTCAGCAAAAAAGAACTCAAAAGAGCATAGTAGTGTAGAGCCAGTTAGTGTAAGTAGTCGAGTGTATCGAATAACCTAGGGCATGCGGTATAGTGATTGATGTTTGTAATGAAGATCAAGTCATCAAAAAGTATTTAAATATGTTCTGTACACTTTTTGAAAAGACAGGGCATGTAAAATATATTTGCAAAGATTTCTAACGTGTGTGTGTGTGTGTGTGTGTGTGTTGTAATGTTTGTCAAGCATTGCTTATTTAGAATTTCACTTATTTGAAACATCTAATTCCCCAGTCGTGCTACACAGTTGAAGCTGTGTGGGTATAAAATGTGGGGCACACTAAAGTTTTGTACTTTTCTGATACCCTGCCGTTTAATGTCACCTTGTCTTCACTTACCCTGCTTCCTTAGCCTAGATCATCCTCCCTGTATGTCCCTCCCTACCTCACCCATCGTCTTCTGTGTTCTCCACAAGACTGTAAGCCCCTTGAAGGCAGAGACTGTCTTGCTCATCTCTGTACTAGTGTAGGGCTGCCACGTGGCAGATGCTCAGTGAGTGTTCAGTCATGCTGAATGGTTGTAAAAGAACAGCTAAGGATGTATGGCCTTCTGTTCATACTCCCAAGAGAAGAGCATGTCATGCTCACATTTTCTTTCCAGATTAAGTATGCAAGTTATTTTGTATTATGTTGCTTGATAGAATAATTTCCTTTTTATTCCCTACAAATATGTTTTACTAATGACCATTTTCCTCCTTTCTCTATAGATGGATTAATCACCTCTGAAGGAGCCATAAGTCCAGATTTCTTCAATGATTATCACCTTCAAAATGGAGATGTAGTTGGGCAACACTCATTTCCTGGCAGGTAAACAGTCTTTCCAAGAAAAATCTAATATATGATGTTTCCCTTGTTTTTGAAAAGCTAGAATTCTCTCCACTCCCCATTTTTCTATCTTTTTTCATTAAAGAGGAAAAATGCTGAATATTTTCAAGAACATGCTTGTTTGTTTTTAATTTATGAAGTCATGTTTTCTATGCAAAAAAAATGGAATCACAGATCTGAAAAATATATGTACTTCATCACTTTGGAAAATACGGGCTGTCTATTGAAAGACACAATATTTTTGCCAAATTAATGAGTTCAGATTGTTTTCCAAAGCCAATCAAATATAATATAAAATAAGGAAACAATACATGTATTTTAACAATTACTTAGACCTTGTTTTAACAAGTTGATGCTTTGATTAAAAACTTTTTCTCCCTGGGTGACATGCAAATAAAATGTTTAAGGAAAAAAAAATCTGACATGTCAGCAGTGTTCTACAGTTGATTTATAAAATTTTACCAGAATGTGTAAACAGTATTTTCTTTTTCATATCATTCCTGGAAGTGGAATATTTGAATTTAAACTGACCGTTGAAATATCACGTTAAATTAGTCTCCTGAATAGCTGCAGTCTTATTTTCCATTAAGACTATTTTTTCTTTAAGTTATTTACTTAATTTTCTCTTCTAAATTTGTACTTTTCATTAACATAACCGATTTTCTGTTTAGAGGATGTGTTTATGTATTTTTTTAATGAAAGAATACAATTGTGATTAACATTTTATAACTCTTATTGACCACTGTAATGAGCTATTTTGATCCAACAGTTAATTGTTACAACCATTATTGATCATCTATTATATGTAATCTATTTGACAAATACTCATTGTATTTATTTTCACCTGCACAGCAACGTTTTAAGGCAAGTATTGTCATAGCCATTTTACAAGTGGAGAAATCAAGCCTCTAATAATTTAAGTGACCCACTCACACTAGTAGGATGTTACAGAAAAAGTAAACTCAGGCCTTTATATCCCCAGAGTTTATGTATCTTCCATCATGATGCCTGATTTAGAAGGAAGCATAGCATCGTGTAGTGACTTCTAAGTAGGTTTTTCCTCCCACAACCGCATTAAGAAATGCTTCAACCCACTATATTGGTTTCACAACTCATTGATATCATGACTCAACTTTTAAAAGCATGGTGGAAATTGTAGTTATTACATGAAATGTGATACTATATATGTAGTTCAGTACTCTGTTGTGGACTTGAAATACATAATAGAACTTTAGAAAGTTTTATCAGTGTACTGGATTGTCATGGTAAGAAACTCCTTGCTGTAGGAAATAAAAGTTAAACATGGTTACGTACCAGAAAGCATATGGCTTTTGATCACTTCTGATGTTTCTGTCTGTATTAGCTATAATTATTTAAATGGAGACTCTGTTTAATCATTATAACTACTATACTCCATCATGGGACAATTCCCTGTACAAATGTTTTCTAAAACATAATTGGAAAAGGAAGAAATGATTTGGGCTTATAATCCTCATATTTATACGGAAGATTTTTGCGGATGGCATTTACAAGATTAAGTGTTCTGCCATTTATGTTTCACTGTGAACAAAACATTATTTTTGTATCTCCTTCAGATACTGCCAATCTAAAGAAAGCAGGTTGATACTAATTATGCCTTACTTAAGAAAGACTTACTTTCATTTTTATATAATTATGTGATTTTTAAAGAATCTCAACATTTTTACTACAATTGAATATACAAAACAATGAACTTACAAGCTCAATTCAGCAAAATTTCTCTTTTTTGGTTTTCAAAAATGGTCCTTTTATAAAACAATAAGCATGTTTTGTGAGAAGCCTGTATTCAGCAACTAAGCTGTGCCTTTGTCCAAAGGTGTCGGGGTTTCATTTCTTAACTCTGTTAATAGCTCTTTAAAAACAACTAGGAAAATTCCCTTACCTTTGTACTCTCAGCTCCTTTACAAGGGTAAACATATCTAAGTGGCATCTTTTATATCATAAAAAGCACATCACAGTGATGTTGGCTTAAAGGACCAGTTAATAAAACTTACTATAGACTCTTTTCAAATCAAAATAGTGATATACTTATTTATTATAATCATTTTGATTTGAGAATTGTTTGCCCTTTAAAAAGAACTTCCCCTGAGAAAGTTAAGTCTTTCATCTCTTGTCTTTTATAATTTTTCAGGCTTTAAATCATGTGACTGTATCGTTTTCTTTTTTTATTTCCAGAAGAAATAATTTACAATGAATTTCCTTAAGGTTTTTTTTTTTTTTTTTTTTGTAGGTAATAGATCAAATAAGATGGAACTCTCTATTGAATTAGCAGAGATACAAAGTATAAAGTGTGGCCCAAACTCAGTTGTTCTTTCTACATTTTCTACTCTGGAATCATTTACTCTTGCTTTTATTCAATCATTTTTGATTGGTTAGGATTCTCTTTTAATAGGATTTCTATGCTCTTCTTTGATAGTAACAAACCATAGATCTTATCTGGATTATTTTTTAACCCTGCTAAGATTTAAGTATTTTAAATTGCTACATAATTATTCACATATTTTGGCATGAAAATTTTGCCACAAAATGTCCCAGATGTGGAATCTTAAACTAATGGCTACCTTTCAGCTTCTGATATCCAATAGGTAAATTTAAGCCTATTATATCAAATAATGGTCATTTAAAATACTATTGAAATTTTTTATTTTAACTAATTTTAAGCAAATAGGAATTTTTTTTGACAAATGTAAAGAGTCATCCTCACTGTGGAGATAAGAGTAAGCAGATCTAATGGACAACATGAAGAATGTGGGTTAGCTATGACAAAAATAAAGTCTTGATTAAATTTTAAATATTGAAAAAACTAGTTGTTATCTATTTTGAGTATTTTTTTAAACAGGGAAATTATCCATATGAGTTACCAATTCTTTCTATTATCATATATACCTTTGATAAGTAAGCACTGTCAAGCTATCGGAAAAAAAGAATAATAAATTAACATATAAAGTGTGAATTACAAATTATTATCATTGTTTTTTTTTAATTGTTCAAATACATTTGTCTCTGTATTATCATTGCTTTTAACCTGAAATGGCATGGCAGAGTCAGGGGGCGTGCTCTTCAGCCAGTACGAGCTGTCTGGTCTTTGTGGTTTTTAGCATATCAGTGTCACTGGGTTCAGGTGAAGTAGATAACCCAAAGTTCCTGCAAGATAAAGAAAAGATTCTAATTATTATAAGAGTTTTTTTTTCACTTGTTCAAAGAAAAATCCTTCGCTTTCTTACTAAAATGGCAAAATTCAGTAATTCGACATATCTGTACAATGCGGAAACTAAGTCAGATTTAGAGAATTGATTAAGTAGTTCAAATTTGCCTTTTTCTTAAAATTCAAGTCAGGGGGGTCCTTCTTAATCTGAATGCCTGTACTTTTGTAATACAGCAAGGCAGTTTAAATGGAAACACTGGAAAGTGTAAACTTATCTATCCTGCTCTGCAAGGGAGACTAGATGTCGGGTGAAATAGATGTGGCAGTGGACAGTGACCCCTGGGGCTTTAGACATGTGTCACTCTCAGTGTGAGCCTCTTGGCGCCAGGGCTTCCGACGCATTGGAGGCCGTGCAAAATCCCGGGCTCCACGGCACTCGCTTTAGAGCTGCCAGTCCCGGGGGTCAGATGTAAATCTTCCCTCCCCAAATCTGAACTGGTGTTAAAAGTAAAGTGGAACTCGCTATTGAAGCTAATTAAAAATAATAGGAGTAAGACTAGATTTTCTCCCCCCCGCCATTCTTTTTTTTTTACCGTGTATCCGCACCATATTTTTGGACCGTTTTTTATTATAACTCTTACTTTTCAAGACTAACAAGAACCTCATGTTGAGTATTTTTAAACTGCTTCCAGCTTTTACAAATCAGTTTTTGTTGCAGTAAAAATGGTCCATTTTTCTTTTATAGGAATCCAATTTTCATAAACTGGAAAAAAATTACAGAGGCTGCTTAGGTTTCCTCGGGGCTTTGAGAAATGTTTTTCCGAGGGCCTGGAGTCCTTCTCGGCGGTCGGCGCGGCGCTGTCGCACACTGACCATGCCCCTGGAGCTGGGGCTGGACTGGAGGGGTCATTGTCTAGCCCCCCGACGCTTGCACTTCTACTTTCTGTCTCTTACATGGCCTGACTCTTTTCTTTCTTTCTTAGAATGCTTTGGCATGAGTTTTCTGTGCATGATATGAATTATATATTACAAATAGGCACCTTTTATTCTATTCGCTCAATTTATTTTTTCAAACATTACAGCTGAACCGTTAGTTTTTACTTTTAACAATCATACTGAGTAGACCTAACAAATTACGTATTTCCTTAATGTGTTAGAAATAATCTTTTCAATTATTTTTACTCAATTTTTAAATGTAATTTTTCCTAAGACAAGGACTCTACATGTAAAAATCAGACTATTTCTTTAGCTCTTAGGCCACCTTGATTATACTCAGTTACTTACTCAGTTTTTTTCCCCATGAGAAAAAAAAACCCCTCAAAATTACATATTCCCTGCCTAAAACACATTGTGTAGTATTTACAGAACTGCATAGTGGTTGTCACATGGGAAGGGGAGGGGGAGAATGGGCGAAGAGGTGAGGCAATAAGGAAGTACAAATAGTCAGAATAGCCATGGGGATGTAAAGTACAGAGTAGGAAATGGAGCAGCCAAAGAACTTACATGCATGACCCGGGGACATGAACACTGGTGGGGGGATTGCCTAAGGGAGTAGGGGGCGCTGGGTGAAGGGGGCAAAGGGGGAAAAATCAGGACAGCTATAATAGCATAATGGATTTTTTTAAAAAAGGAATTTAAAAAAAGTACATATTATTCCTAGAACTCTGATGAGATTATCTCAAAGGAGTTATTCAAAGGAGAAATGAAATTATTGTCTCTTACAACCCTTAATTTGGCCAATCCAAAATTTCTTTTATATTGAAAATAAATATGCCTATAAAATCCCTTCTTTGATAAG